CCCCCCCAAAAAAAAACCCTTTTAACTTTCTAGTTTCTTTCCTTCTGAATCTGACGTTTAATATTCGTCAGATCAAACCTCGACTTATATGTATTATGTCGCCGGTGTAGAATTTTTGAACGCAAACCCTCTGGGCCCTGACTTTGAAGAAAAAAGACTCTTCAACACCTCACCACCAAAAACAAAAACCCTTTTGACTCACAACGTTTTTTGTGTTACACTCGTTCCTCCTATAATTGACCTTTCTTAGCCTTGGTGTCTTGAAGGTGATCAAGTGAGACTAAGGGGAATAGTCGAATTGCCGTCATCGCGACACCTCCCATCATGTTTGTTACTGTTACTCTGTTGCCTCTGGCGGCGACGCGCTGGTTTTAACGAACCAACGATAATTTTAAATAAACATTTTTGAAATATTTTTTTTCCATTTATCACATTACTTATATCACATACTTATCTCTCACATTTTAATCTCTCTTTTATATAATCTCTATTTATATTATTAGCAGAATAAATTATATAATTTAGGTGTAATAGATATAGGATCTAATGATCGTTCTTCCGGTACGTCGACGCCAGAAAAGTATTATGAAAGAGGTGGTGGTGCAGCAATGAAAGTTTTTCTCTATAAGAAATATAGAGTTGCATCTGTGTATGAAAGAAGAGTATCCTCGATGTCTCGAGGTTTATTATCAGTGCAACGTGTGATGTGTACCGCCACCTCGGTCTCTCTAGCGATACAGGTGAGATATTCTCGTAGTGAAGTAAGGTTAGACAGCCAGTGAAGAAAACCTCAGCGTACCAAGGGATCGACGTCAACGTGGAGTCGCCGGAGGACATCTTCGTCTACCACGATGGAAGAGGATATCTTAATCCTTTGTTTCCAGGTCCTGCTTTCCAGGTCCAGTACCCTGAGTATCCTGCAGACACAACTCCGCTCAACATTTGTTTCCCATTTGTCGCTGGCTGTCCTTTCAAGCAAAAAAAATTAAGGATTTTCTTTTTTTTCTTTTTCTTTTTTTTTTTTTTTTTTTTTTTTTTTTTTTTTTTTTTTTTTTTAAGAAGAGTATATATACAATCACGATAACAAATACGACACGTAGTCGAATGTATTCCAGTAATATATTGTTTATTAGACAATTTTTTCCTGAAGAGTCCTGCGAAAAAGAAAACTATGCATCACTACAGTTCCTTTTTTTTTTTTTTTTTTAATTTTTTAAAAATTTTTTTTTTGAACCTTTTTTTTATTCAGTTCCCCAAAATAAATAGGGTCAAAAAAAAAATTTTTAAAAAAAAAAAAAAAAAAGAAAAAAAAAAAAAAAAAAATCCTTTTTTTTTTTTTTTTTAATTTTTTAAAAATTTTTTTTTTGAACCTTTTTTTTATTCAGTTCCCCAAAATAAATAGGGTCAAAAAAAAAATTTTTAAAAAAAAAAAAAAAAAAGAAAAAAAAAAAAAAAAAAATCCTTTTTTTTTTTTTTTTTTAATTTTTTAAAAATTTTTTATTTGATCCTATTGATTATTCAGTTCTCGATAATCCAGAGTTTTTTTTCGGTCGGTAAAAAGCTTTTGGCGAAGGCTTGTTTTTCTTTTTTATGAATAAGTTTATTTGATACTTAATTCTAATTTTTTTATAGAAATATACCCATTAGATATTCTTAATACTGAATAAATTGATAAAAAATTGATTAAATTGAAAAGCTTAAAATTTACATGAAATATTATTAAATTATTATTTAAAAATATTTTTTAAATTATATTTTAAACTTAAAAATATTGATTAAATTTGATTTTCCTTGAATTTTTAATTCAATCCTGTCATATCTTTATAACTTAATAATAATAAATAACTTATAGTTAATTTATTTTTATAAACCATTTCTATAATTATATATTTTTTATAAATTATTTTGCATATTAATCACTATACAAAACATTATTACAATTATTACAAATAAAATCTTACCATATAATCATCAAAATACATATTATGATTCAAATTAATTCTCCTATTGTGTAAAAAATTCTTTCAATTGCGTCATAATTATGAATTTTTAAAAAGGTATTAATTTGAATAAAATTTAATATAAGAATTATATAAAAATCCAAATAAAATAGGAGAGTTAAAAATGAAAAAGGCAATCTAAATGAATCCTAATTAAATCTTTAATCAAATCAAAATACATAATTCAATATTTCATACAATATTGCTTTCGCCAAAAGTATCATGCAATCGCATCTTTTATATCTTAATTTTTTATGTTTCTTCACTGATCATTACGTTTTATTAAAAAAAAAAGTTTACGGATGCAAATACCTCCTAAAATATTTATAAATATTTATATAACATTTTATGGGACTAATAAATCTCTTTGTATTTTTTTATGACAATGTCTCGAATTTCAAGAAATAAAAAAAAATACAGATACTGACGTAGTTGTCGACGAGATTCGAGACAAGTGAAATATCATTCCGATAGCGCGTGTATTCAAACGAAAACCCCTCTGGAAACGAGCAACTATCCCCTTATTTGCTGCTCCTCGAAATAGCACGAGTACCACAAGTGTCCAATATATTATATATTTAACCATCGTTAACGCGCGGATCGTAAAACCTATTCTTCACACTCTATTTCTTCCCCTTTTTACGAATTATAATCCATATTATATTTTATTCCAGATTGTCACTCATATATATTTTTATACTTACTGCATTTAAAATAGCAACCGAAAATATATCTCATCATATATTCCCGATTATTACTTCTTGTATACCTTAGCCTCAATACCATTTGGTCGTCATGATTATTAAGTATCGTGTTATCATCCTTCTAAGCACAATCCCATGGCCAGATTTGCATTCTGCCGCGTTCAATTCCTTTTACTGACGTATCTGAAAGTGATGTACGAGCCAATTATCGCGAAGCGATTTGCTGCATTAACATCACGAATGGTGAACTATCGGTAATGTCGTTCCCGATAATATCATCGCAGAGTGCAAGTGCTGAGCCCCATTTAGTTTGATTTCCGCTTTTCAGTGATTCGCAGAGCCATGCTACGTTTCATCCATTAACAATGTATCTGTAATACGATACCACTTTGAAAAAAATCGTAAAATATCTGTCAAAAATTTGGAATCACTTTCCTAATTCTATTTATATTTAATTTTCTAATAATTAAATAATTCCCTTTGACATATCTTTTTATGATCTTTTTATTTTTTAATTGAAAAAGATCTTTGATCAAGCTTATTAATATACTTTTTTTTCGATTTATCCATACTGATTCCGAAATTTTGACTAATATAATTCGAATATGTTCATTCATCAGTCATTTCAATAATTAGCATTTTTTGTGTCATATGCAACGGACTATGGCTCTGTGCTACACCGGAAAAAGGGACGCTATATATTTATAAATCATCATTTCTTCGTTTTTGAAAATTAAAAAAAAATATTTATAATTAATTTGCAAGATTATTATATTCGTAATTCAAACGAATGCATTTGAACGTCTCTTTCGATGGTAAGTACTCCTTGCAGCGCGTCCTCCGCATCGGGATGTTGTTTTTAGAGTTGTCCTCAAGTTTCCATCTTGAGATCAACGAAATGTGACTGCTCTGTATTGTTCGATCAAAGACGATACAGACAGATACTGATGATTCGTCGATCCATGGTGTCTGGAGGATGCGAAAACGCATTTCGATGCTGGAAAAACTGTCCCCCACCCCCCACGAACAACCACGTAGCCGGTGTACGTGAGAATATCACGCTCCATAGAACACACCTGTGGCATAACTTTCTGAAACCTATTGAAAACCTTGCGACTCAATTTCTTTCTTTTTTTTCTATTTTTTTCTTTTTTTTTTCCATATCTTTTTTTCCTCTTTTTTTAACCTATGTATCACATTAGCAATCATACTTACACCACAACTCTATTTAATCAATATAACAATTCTAGCGATCCGTCTTTTCTTTTTCGTCTTTTACTATATCTCATTCACCAATCAATTAGCGTTTCATTTTCTTACCCGTTTCATATATCGCTCTTTTTTTTCTTTTTCTTTTATCTTCTCTCTTCGTTTAAACACTCTAAAACAATGAGAAAAGAAAAAGAAAGAAACATGTATCACGTCATACATTTACATAAACTACATACATACTGTTTTTATACGAGAGAAACATTCCCACCCTCACCTTTTTACATTTTGTGTCTTTTCCCCAGTGTTGAACTGCAGAAAGCTAACCTAGAGGCCCAAAATACCCAAACCCCTGGCAGCGGTACCACTCCCGGGGCATCCGGGGCCAGTGCTTCTCCCTCTACCACCACTACCACTGCCTCTCCCTTGGCCAGCGCCATTCCCTTGGCTCAGCTGCTAAGCAAGCCAGGCGCCCTCAACGCCCTCTCTAGCCTCACCGCCCTCGGCGGACTCACGGAATTGCTAGGTGGCGCTGCTGGCGCGGCTGCATCCGCGCTACCTGTCCAGACAACCGGCGTGCACCGGTCGCACAAGTTCACGCCGAGGCTACGTAGCCCAGGCGCACCCGGGCCCACTGACAGCGGAAAATTCAAATCCGAGCGCACCAAGTACAACCCGTACTGAGCAAGTGATGGACAACAGGTGGAGAGACGCGAGATCAGGGAGATCATTACACGTACACGTATTACTCATCACTACTATCGCCACAATTATTACCAATACCACTATAATCACAACCACAACCACCAAGATCATGATATGTACACGGAACACGAGATTTACATCGGAGAAAAGTGCGTACGGACGCCAGGGTAGCGCGAGTCCGGATATTCAAGACTTGGCTAAGGATCGGACCAACATATATGCTAGTTTCTCACAGGATTATACAGCACCGCCATGCTGATATAATGCGTACAT